GTAAAAACAAAAGCGAAAGCATTTACCTGTATTTTACATTTTTACCTGCGCAAAGTTGAAAAGCTACGTTCAGCAGTTGCTACACTAATTGGCAAAGAAGCAAGGATGTAAAGCAAAGAACTAATATTAGGATAAATCACATCAGAACACTCATCAATGGCTTCCAGAACATTTTTTGGTAGGTCATCACCTAAAAATAAAAATTATATAACGTATAAATATTAAAAATGACAGTTTATTAAAATCAACCCCTTTAAAAATTATCACCTTTTAATTTATGACGGTTCCATTTACTATACCAAATTTCTAATTCTGATTCAAACAGCACGTCATCTGTATTCTTAAAAGATGAAAATTTATTTTTTATTTCATTAAGTGCCTCTTTCCTTTCGTTTTTTGACAATTTTATAATATGCAAAGGTACCAATTTAGTTAATGCTCCAAGTGTCTGATTTTCATGTTTCCCAAATCGTCTACTCATATCATTAGTTATAAAATCTAATAATGGAATGAAAATAGTAATTTTGTAAAACTCTTCACAACTATTAACGTTTGGTGGATTTGATCTATTCTTTTGTTGACCAGCAATTCTCGGTATTCGTATATCAATATCTTGTTCATCCATCAAGCATTTGCAATCATTATAAATACCTTGAAAGATAGTATCACAATCTGAACGATTATTCTTAAGTGTAGAAATAATATCTTCAACAATTTCAGAAGCAGTAAGTATATCTTGATATTTGCCTTGTAGTGCCTTACTTGCATRATATGTGATAGATAGTACATATGATAGTGAGTAAAGAGACATTATAAACTCACAGTTACAAATTGAAAACAACAGGGTTTTGGCTTTGGAAGATGATACCATATCATCCCATTTTGATACAGAAGTAAGGGCGTTAATAATTTCAGGTAGTGAGGTTTTAAACAGCAATACACTATCGTGCCTTTCTACCCATCTCGTCTCACATAAACTAACAAATTGTTTTCTGAGGATACTTTTTAGTACAAAATTACGTTTAGCTGATATGTTAAAAAAAGTTATAACTTGTTCCATGATACCTATACAGTTACGAATCGATTGAACTGTTGATGATTTCGAAATCGATAGATTTAATGCATGATTGTGGCAAGGACAATGAATAGCATTTTTTGCTGACTGCTGAATACGCTGAACAGCCCCAACTATAGTAGAAACCATTACTGCACAGCCATCAGTAGCAATACCTACACAATTATTTAAGTCTAAACCCAGTTCGGTAATCATTTTAATGACAATATCACCAAGCAATTCTCCGGTCAATTTTGGTTCTACCTGGTTTGAATCTACTATATTTCCATCATCTTCTTCATCATTATTAAAATTATTTTTATTAAATACATATGAATGACAGTCAATAAAAGTAATAAATCTTTCAACTACATTTTTTGAGTCAATATATCGGACACTTAGACTCATTTGAGAGGTTGCAGAGATATCAGTAGTTTCATCAAATATAATACTGTAGTACTTGACCTTTTCAATACCTTTAATAATTTTAGATGTTATTTCTTTTCTAATACACTCTATCAATTCATTCTGAATAGTAGGACTTATATAAGTTGCTTTTGCATTATTATCTTTTAAATGATTTTCAAGAGTTACATCACCTGATGAGATCCTAAACTTCAAAATTTCTCGAAAGTTACCTTCGTTAATAACACTTGATGAATTAGGTTGACAAGAAAGTGGGCCAAAATCTTTGTGACCTCGTAAAGCAATATTTTGACGYCCTAAAAACTTGATACTCTCAATTATTGGTACTAAGCGCTCCCTATTTTCTTTAATTTGTTTCATACGTTCAGTATCAATCAAGTTAAGAACAACTTTATTTGGATTTGAAAAAGTTTTTTGAAAGTCAAAAGAAAATTGAACACAATTTTTATGATAATCATTATTATGGTGTGTTTCTAACAATCCGTCTTTTCCTAATAATTTGGCAAACTGAGTTAACGGCTCAGTAATAAGTCGTTTTAATTTTTCTGTACCTCTTCGTCCACCTTTGTCAGATATTAGGAAAAGTACACAATACTTGCRAAATAATCCTTTTTTGGATTTTGAGTATTCTAGCCAGCTATACTGTATAAAATGATTTTTCCTTAAATAACGCTTGTCTTGCTTACCGTTTTTGTTATGGATTGAAAATRGGTATATAAAATCTTCATCAGGTACATTTGAACGTTTTAATATATCTGCTTTGGTATGATCGTCTATTTTCAATCCAAATAGATTTCCAATATCTAACTCGTCTGAAACATAAACAATGCAACCACTAAAATAATAATAATAATAATAATATGAATGTTTAATAATAATTATAAAATGATTAATAGAAAAAAAACTGACGCACATTACCGTCATTACCAACAAATATTCATTACCACAAATATGTAAACTTAACATATTTATGATAATGTACACGTACGCCTACATTTTTAGTACTTACCATTAACGGTATGTTGATCGATGGTAACCTTTTCTTCATTTTCCGTTTTTTTTTTCTTTATTTGTGTATCTTCAGTTTTATTGGATGATTTGGATGTAAAATATTCATTTATTCTCTTCATTATAATATTAATATGTATATTTTCAATTCAATTAAATTTATCGTTATTTTATACGAATTATGAATTAAATATTAAACAGAGTTGATAATAAAAAATAAACACTTCAAGTGAAATTTGTTGATAACAGTTAAGATAGTATGACCACTATGACCATGTTAACAAAACTAGATTACTGAAAGCAAAGAACAAACTTTACTGCTTAAAGAATATTTCTTATCTATCTTGATGAGTGAACGCGGGTCTTAG